CAGGCGCAGGCCAGGCGCAGACCAGGCGCAGACCAAGCAAAACAAATTGCAAATTGCTACTCAAATCTAAACAGCTTAGTTGTTGTTGAGACCAGACTTGTTTGTCATGCATAAGTTGGAGAAGGTGGACGACATGCTGAATTTAATATTTTTTAGTTTCCTGACTTCCCGTCGGCAAGCCTTCTTGGAGACTTTGACTGAAAAAGAACATCTTCCGCAGCGTTCCGGTGCCCTGGCGTCCTTGAAGGAAACGGGAATTCCGGAGGCTGTGGAACTCCTTGGCCTGTTTTAGTCCACGTTTTTAGTCACAGTTTTAATCATTAAGTTTGTTTCCATACCTTCAACTACCAAACAAAATTGATCCACTGTCTGTTTTAGTCATTTAGTTTTGTTTCCTTCCTTTACTTCATCAAACAAAATTTGCCCACAGTTTTAGTCATTAAGTTTTGCTTCCTTACTTTCCTTCACCAACACTTTTGGTCTACAGTCTACAGTTTTAATAGTCATTAGTTTTTGCTTCCTTACTTTCCTTCACCAAACATTTTGGTCCACAGTCTTAGTCATTTGGGTTTGTTTTCTTCCTGCCTTTCACCAAAAGATTCTGTCCACTGTTTTAGTCATCAGGTTTTGTTTCTTTCCTCATTACAAAAAAATGTCGACAGTTTTAGTCATTATAATGTTGTTTTCTTCTTCTACTTCACAAAAAAACTTTGTCCACAACTTTAGTCATTAGTTTTTGTTTCTTTACTTTGCTTCACGAAAACTTTTGCTCTACAGTTTTAGTCATTGGGTTTTGCTTCCTTACTTTCCTTCACCAAAACTTTTGTTCCACAGTTTTTGTCATCAGGCTTTGTTTCCTTCCTTTGCTTCGCCAAAAGATTTTGTCCACAGTTTCAGTCCTTAAGTTTTGTTTCCTTACTTTCCTTCACCAAAACTTTTGATTTGCAGGTTTAATAGTCATTGGGTTTTGTTTTCCTTTCCTTCACCAAAATTGTGCTCCACAGTTTTAGTCATTAGGTTTTGTTTACTTCCTTTACTTCACCAACAAATGTTGTCCGCAGTTTTAGTTATTGGGTGTTGTTTCCTTCCTTTACATCACCAAACAAATTTGTCAACAGTTTTAGTCATAAAGTGTTGTTGCCTTCCTTTACTTCACCAAAACACATTGTTCACAGTTTTTAGTAATTTCCTTCACCCAAAGTTTCTTCTACAGCTTTAGTCTCGAGGTTTTGTTTCCTTACTTTCCTTCACCAAACTTTTTGGTCCTTAGTTTTAGTCATTAGGTGTTGTTTCCTTCCTTTACTTCACCAAAAATATAGTCCACTCTTTTAGTCATTAGGTTTTGTTTCTTTCCTTTACTTCAAGAACAAAATTGTCAACAGTTTAGTCATTAGTTTTTGACAGTCTAGTGACCATACGCTACTTCAGTTGCTAGCGATTAGCCTGTTCAAAGCAAGTGCGTTCAAACCTGTTTCACTAGGGCAGAATTAATCAATGCGAAGTTTTATAGAAGCATGATGACATGGCATATTATACTTGATTATTGCGAGTTTCAATTACTAAAAGCTACCCGGCCTCTTACACAAATGATATGAATTTGCCATTGGCTTGATACTACCTGGAAATCCTACCCCTTCCCTCATCCTACCTCTTCCCTGGTAATCGTGCCGCCCAAATTTGTTCCTATACGTGTGCCACGCTTATGCTGTATCAATTCTAAGACTCTAAGATGTCCTGGTGGCAGGACGGCAAAAAGAAGAAGAAAGACAAAAAAAAGAAGGCTCACGATGGATCTGAACCAACAAGTGTGCACACTCATGTTCTTGGCGTTCAATGACTTGCATTGTGCAAGCCTCCACTATGTCCAACTCAATGCAGCTAGGAGAAGAAAGAAAAGCAGGAAAGTCCGTGCCTTAATTCCTGTGCCATGATTTGGATGTGGGTGAAAATATGATACCCAAACTCAAACCCTCGTAGGTTGACATCCCCAATGGTCCAACTTTGTCATGTAGGTGTGTCACCCATCACCCGCTCCGAATTCGGATAATTCAGTATGCCTCCCTAGCAATGTATATATCCTGACTCAAGATGATTCTACCCCAGACTGGATGATGCTTGTTTGTTCTTGCTTTGTTTCTTAACCTCGATCATATTCCATTAACCCCCCTGTGTGGCAGCGGCCTCGAAAAATCATGGAGGCGAGTCCGTGGGTTGGAGGGCCATTTGGTGTGGCTCGCATGCGTTCATCCTCATCGTTCAACCAGAAAAGAGGTCTCATGTTCAACATGACCATGTCTCTGAATATGGCCATGCAGCTTATGTTTGACAATGTTTGATGTAAAAGCACGGTCATTTTGGCCAACACACAGCTCTCCTGCATTCCAAGGGGTTGGCGGGCCAGTTTTGAGGCGAAGCATCAGCTGAAGGACCTGCCGAGCCAGACCAGGTTGAGGCTTGGCCAGTCGGCCGAGAGGATGTATTGGGACATGAATTCGATGGGATTCACTCGGATTCACCATGTTTATCACGGTCACGGGGGGAAACGAAAGCTCCCTCCCCCGGTATGGGTGAGACGAGACGTGAAGCCCAACACAGTTAGTCAAAAGGTGTAGGCATGTGATGCTAATGGCTTCAGGTACCATTATCAGGTACCTGCAATCTCTTCAAAAGTTGATCAGGAGAACACCCTGGCTGCAGATACGCCACAAAACTCACCGGACAAGCCAAAAGCTAGATATATGAAGCAGACTAACAACCGATTAAAACACAACCTGCCCAAAGACAAGCACTCTCGCACGGTCCCACCATGGTTTTTCTTTTCGCACGCATGGTCAAAGAATCAGTAGGAAAAATGTAGCCGTGCAGATGATGACTGCCAAGAAGCTACTAGGACGCTACTAACTAGGGGCTCCTGGCATCGCTACTAGGAGCAAGTAGCTACTACGAACACCACACGCAGGTCTGGCAGGAATCCTTTGAGACGATGCCCTCTGTCGGTACGTGGCTCATGTCCTTCACCGAGGACGGGTGTCTCGTGGAAAGAACATGCAAGTTGGATCGGTCCGGTCCAGGTGGAAAGAACATGAGGGTTCGGTTCTACCATGGTTCCCTCGAAACTGAACAGGGGTTGGCTTCATTATGAGTGGGAGGGGTCTGGAAACCATCCTCTGTGAAACTGGTCCCAACACCAAGTGGTCCTTGAAAGGGGATTGTCCTTGGAAAGCCGGTCGAGTCGTTCCACGCTCGACGCTCCAGATGCATCAGTTGTTGGAAGAGTACTGTAGGAATACATGGTTGAATACGACAGAGTAGTTCGCCCATGTTCACCCGACATTGGTAAGAGACAAACACGAGCACCATTTGCCCAGTAAGAGCAACATGCTCGTGCTTTGCGCAGGCACAGGCCCGTGGATTGAAACGATTGACCCCCGGACCACCACCATCAGAAGCTTGACGGACACGGCCCTTGGGAGTCTTTCAAAGTCTACTTGGCACACCCTCCCAAACTTCGACCATGCCATCAGATGCCATCCAGAAACTTCGACCGGAAGACGTCCGCCCGGGTTTTTGTCCGCACGGTCTGAATGTGGAGGAGGACCTCCTACGACCAACGACAGTGGACGCTGGGCTCATATGGACCTTCCAGACAGGACCGAAGAGGATCAACGGTGTTGATACAGGTTGATATGGCGAAACTCAAAGAAGGGAACAGTCTGTCGGAAGAGTTAGTTGGAAGAATGAACATAACCCAATTCAAGATGTTTATGATGTTTGAGCCATACCCATTTTAATATCACTGCGCTCAATGTTCATGTAAATGGACAGGTAACGGGTAGTGAACAGATGGATCCAAAGAGTGACACTGTGTGACAGTGCTCAGTGTTGGAAACTACTTAAAGATGCTTCAATGATACTTCCAAAGGTGTTCAGACTTTCAGGTGTGTAGCTGATGGGCATGGCATGATGCTAAGTTCTAAACCTGAGCCTTCATAGCAATCTGGCAGCCGTCATATTTCGGTGGGTGTCGGACATGGAGGGTCTTTGGGTACCACCTTCCAAATGCACCTTAAGTGGTTCTTGGTTCATATTTGTTCCATCTCTTCTTCACGACCCACACCGGGTGTTGACAAACACTTTGGACACCTTCCGCGGACACCTTCCAGCTCCGCTCCGGAGGTGTCCTCGCCGCACAGCGTGGGCGAGTCGTTCTTCTCCGCCACGGCGGGCGCGGAAGCCGTCGGGGGACGCAGCGGGAATCGATGCGCCCGGCGGGTCGCCCGAAGGCACAGGTCAGTCGCGCGTGGCAGAGGGTCAGACCCCCACGCATGAGAGCTCCGTTGGTGTGGGTCTGGCCCCAAAGTATGGCCAGTATGGCAAGGCAAATTGTAATCAGATTGATCAGTAAGAGGCAAAGTAAGTAGATCAGAACACACCAGAACGATTGAACCTGTAGCTGTTGAGCTGTTGAGAGAAAGGAACACAGGCCCTTTCTCCGCGACCGATCGAAGATTGGATGTGGATCATCGAAGATGCCAAAGGATCATTCCATTATTGGAGGGACACCCACAAACAACTTTTATGTGTACATTTTGTTTGTAGCGCGGTCATGTTCGAAATGGCCATTTTTGCACATCCATGTTTCTTCTTGGGAGTCTGTGATTCCGAAATCTCTAACAGGGTTCTAACGAAAGGTTGGCACTATCTATCCCCGTACTGAAACAGACTGAAACTATTTCCACATCATTCTGGAGCGCATCGAATACTGTGCTCCAACTGACTAGCATGGCAGTGGCGCCACTTCCACATGTTTTCCATTGCTTTCCCACCACTTCCGAGAGTCAGAGGGTACTCCCTCGTGGCGCACTCTTTGCTGAGTCTGTGGCTGATGCACTTCTGGCGATGGCCTTCGGCGACCTGCTCCCGGTGCCTCACCGGGAGAAGTCTAGAATGTGAGGAACAGAACACCAGCCACCCATGGCCACCCATAGCTACCTCGGTGTCGAACAGGGGTCTATTCATTCGGCGAAGACTTCTTCTTCTTCTCCTTCTTCTTTTCAGACCGAATGAACAACAGTGGAGCTCTGCTGAGCTCTCCGTGGAGCTCGGTTTGGAGCTCTCTGGTTTTTGTCTTTTTGTCTTGGACCGATCTCCTGACCGGTCCGACGGGTCTGACCGATCAGTGATGTGATCTTTAATCAGCAAAGGTAAGTTTTGTAGTGAACAATCAAGGACAAAACCGATTGAGCGGGATCAAAGGCTTCAAGATACCGAGATCCACTGTGTGAAGGCTGTTTCTGCGAGTTCCAGATACCGAGAGAAGAGACAAAGCTTTCAGACCCTTCCACAAAGGTTGCGCAAGGAGTCTAGAGGGTTTGGTACATGGCCGCAGAACGTGAAAAACACGGGATGAACAACATGCAAATGTGGACGGTGTGGACAATGAAATAGAAAATCGAGCCGTGATGTGCATATGAATCATATGAATGCCTAATTGGGCAAATCTATGCGTAAGGATCTGGTACTCGACTATATATATCGCTTTTCTTAAGAGCAACACGCAGCTCACGATTATACATTGCTCGTTTGCAGGAAGGACAAGTTTCTAAAAGAATGGGAATGCTGCAGGCAAAGGCATTATGGAATGGTGGTTTACTCAGAAAAGGATTAACGAAGTCCAAGATGGCCTGCAAGGAACGACTTTTTCAGAAGAATGGTCGGTGGGCAATGCCTGCGGTGTTCAGGTCTCATCGAAACCCGAGAAGGTCAAGGTTTTGGAATACTTCGGGATAAACTGTCGTTCAGTAAGTGCTTCAATGTGCTTAACTACGATGTGATTCTGCTTGTTCTGGAATGGACCAGTGAACCGGTGGCAGACGGCAATTTGTGCATGTGGTGAGTCAGACGGCAGGTGCTGCAAACGAATCGGAATTTTGGTAACAATGTTGGAAGGCAGCCTCTTCATATATGGTGGGTTTTATGACTTGATCAATAGCCTACAATAGATTATTCGCCTTTGCCTTGCGTACACTGACGAAGGTGAGGCTTCAGCCTCCCATACAGCACTTCTTCTCAGCTTTTCCCCGAAAGCTGTGGCGAGAACACGGATGCTTCTACAGACTGCGTCCAATGCCGAGCATGCCAGGAAGCGGTTGAGGAGATCGCTGAATTGGTCGGCCCCCCAGTCACGAAGGAAGGACGAAGGAAGGCGTTGTTGGGCAGCTCTCCCTCCCTCTGACGGTGGGATAACATCAATCACACTGTTGAATAAATGCGCGTCTCAAGCATCATTCCATTCCACTGGAATGTACCGGAGTAGGGTTCTCTTTTGTTCAAGCCCCTTGGATTCCAGAAGAACCCTTGGTCACCACCTGTTCAGGTTGCTGGGTTCCTCCATCAATCTGCTCCAGGGTCCATGATTGAGATGGACAAACCGAGGTTGTCCAAAGGTTTCAGATATTTTCAGATCTTTTCCTTTGGATGTGCTTCCTTTGAACATCTGAACCTTTTGATTGACATAGACATACAGATGCATGTTTTAGTAGATGCATGTCTACAGATGGCGCACGACCAGAGGGCTGTTCTCTTCAGATCCTCGAGTGAAAACGACCGGGACGAGACGGACCGAGGGCTCAGATGTTGAGGGATGTTGAGGGTGGTTAAACGGTTCAACAACGGGGGGGGAGGGGCCCCCCGTGGGGTTTTTGGAACCTGAGACGTGCACAAACAGCATGAAGAGATATTGTTTGAGTTTTTTTTACACGAGAGAGAGGTCGATGTCGTGTTTGTGAGGTAGAGGCAGAGCACACTGACGAGGAGCTGCATGTTTGCTGGAAAAGCAAGCAGGGTGGCGACGTGTTGCGTGTTGGCACTCAAATTCCGTCGGCTTACTAGAGGTTCAAAGCAGATTGGGCACAGGCACATACGCTAACCATGGATCATTTGAGGTCGATGTCCATCTTACAATCCACCAAGCTTGGGTAAGAAGGGCCAGGTGGTCGGCATCCCCAGTTGGTTCTGCATTTTACACTCATCTCAGCTCGGGCATTTGGGACTCACGATGCTTCACAGTGGCTTGGTATCGAAACGGTGAAGCAGCTCCTTCCTGCCCTAGATGCAGTGTTATATATATATATACATAGTTGTGCACCTGGAATTAAAATTGCACCTAGAGTCTTCGTTGATGTAAAATTGCACCTGTCGTGCAACAGACGCTGGCGACCCGTCAGGAGTCTGAGTCCTCAGCCTTGTTGGGTGCACGCGCTGCTTGACCCTGAGCGCTTGAGAGAAAGAGCTTTGTACGGTCGGCACGGCCGGAACTCAAGGACAGAAAGAACCGACAATGATTCTACGTAGAACACCTTTGACCCCCGTTGGTCAAGGCCACCATGCGTAATGCGTAGAGATACGCAAGTTTGATGGCGTGATGCAGCTCAGGGGATGACATGACATGCAGCAGAACCCGGCTCTGTGATGGTTCCGTGATTGATCTGGGGGGGTTCGATTCTTGACACCATGGTTCTGTTGTGATTTGGGGCCTTGCCTGGCTTTTTGCCATGTGTGCTTTATTAAAATGTGTTATGCAACTCTGAGGCCATTGCACATGCCATTGAGCATGCGGCAACTGTCTTAGCGGAGCAGGACACTGTCCCGAAGCCTCCATGGCTGGAAACTTGGACTCGTCTTTGGGTACCAATCTCATGTGGTCCTGTAGCGAAAGCTACATAAAGCTACTCCATAGCCTGATAGCTACTCCATTATTTTTGCCGCGCAGGACGCGAAGAGCGAAAGCTCTGCGGTGATCGGCGCACGGGCGGCGTGAGCCTCAGGCTGAACGGACACGGAAACCCGGTCAGGAGAGAATCGGAGACCAGGGACCACCAGGGACCACCAGGGACCTGGAGGGACCTGGAAACTGAAGAACTTCTGAGATGGAGGATGTTCAGTCATGCTAGGTATGATCGTGGGACGGCTGGATGATCTGGGGGCATGTTCGATCTCCGACGGCTGAGGCGATCGCCCTGGCGATCCAGAAAGCGGCTGAGACGTTGAGAGAGGCACAGGAGTTGCAAGAGGCGCAGGAGGCAGATGGGAACTCTGGAGCAATGAGCAACCAAACGTCCCAGGTCTATGTGAAGTGTCCGCAGGTCAGTTCTTGACCGTGTCAGGTTTGGGAGGGGTGAAGTTTGGGAAGCGGACCTCGAGATCCACTGGAAATTGGAGTGGATCACAAGATGCGGTGTGGACATGCTTGGATGCGGACGTTAGTCAATGTCTGACGATTGAGTTGATTCTGAAGCCAATCCAGTGTTGCTGATCCTGCAAGTGCAGAGAGGGGAAAAGGTGGGAAGTGAGTCAACAATATAGATCCCCAAGATGTTGGAAGACGCACAAAGAATCTTTCCACGAGGCAATTCCTTTTTCCAAGTCTCGTTTCCAATAAGATGAGGCCACTGAGGCGGTCACTGACACAATGGTGTCCTGTCTAACGGGGGTGAGCTGCTGCTGCGGATCTGATCAGGGTTGGGGAATACCAGCGTCACATTGGCAGTGTCTCAATCTATCTCCCAATGGAGAGAAGACCACCAGGACCACCATGTACTCCGTGGTGGAAGTGTGCCCATGTCTCCAGAGTTAAGCCAGCAAAGCCTGGACACACCTCCCTGGGGCCTTCTGGCTCGGACAGGTGGAGGACCAACCGCATGAAGAAGACCCAGCAGCTCAGAGGAAAATTGAGCCTTTTGAGGTTCTGCAGGGTGTTGGTCCCTCCTGTCAAAGATGGCTACAGCCACCCCAGTATGAGCTTGGTGGTGCTGGATTTCTCCCAGTCAACTGATGATGACAGAATATGACCATGAAGATGACGAGTGTGACAGTAAGAAAGTGTCAAGATCAGGTGATCATCACACAGAAAGAACTTCACACACACACAGAATGTTTTGCTGGTTACGGTTCGTTTTTGCAGTGTGGAATCACAGATGACGAGCTGACTGCGAGTGTGAATGTCCCAGAAAGCAAAGGCAGCAGCTGGAAGCAAACGGAAGACCTGGAAAGAAGTGAAACTACACAGGATCCACAGGATCCTCCTTTCGGAGTCTCAATAAAAGCAACAGTCTCAAAGGCACGCAAATATGACATGATGATTCGACTAAGTTGCTGAGTCATCAAGCATTGGTTTGGTCGAAGTATAATAAGCACCTCCGACGCGGTGATGATCTCTCGATAGCCTTCCTTGGTTGACAGAACCTACTAACTAAAGGTCATATTGCAGTGCCAAGAGAATTCCGCGCGCCAAAGGAAGAGATTCAACCAGAAGTTCAACCAGTTCAGCCAGAAGTTCAGCCAGAAGTTCAACCAGTTCAGCCAGAAGTTCAGCCAGAAGTTCAGCCAGAATTTCAGCCAGAAGTTCAGCCAGAAGTTCAGCCAGAAGTTCAGCCAGAGTTGCCACCGGAGGTTGGTTGCCATTTTGCATGGACGAAAGTGCGAAGGGAAGGGATGTTGGATTTCTATCCATCATGATTGGTCATTTTGACCAGTGAGTTTACATGATGCACTTTCAAACCATGAGCCATGGCCGTGGTTTGACGAACACACCACACCGTTCCAGCCTGGCAGGTGCCTGAGGTACAGCCTGAGGTGCCCGAGGTACAGGTGCGGCATGAGGTCGAGATCGAGGTGGAGTCTGAGGACGAGCAAACCGAGTCACTGCCTCAGCACCTGTGACTTGAGCAAGAAAAACCCAACCGATGCCCTCCAACCTAGAACGGGGGACAGACGTGAGGAGTGATTTAATGGCAGCATGTAGGGTGTGGCAATGTGTGGCATGGGGATCAGCTGGCAGCAGTCTGCAGTGGTGGGTCATTCTTGTTTGGTTGCAAAATAAGGAAGAACGGTCGTCAATGAATGCAGATGACATACTCTAGTTGATCTACTTGCAACTGGCAGTGCCGAACTTTAGAGAGCTCGAAGTTATGCGGGTGTGGTTTTTTACGCGTTTTGTGTGTTTTTTTTCTTATAGATTTTGTAATGGTTTGAAAGAGTTTCCACGGTTGCGGTCTAGATATGCTCAAATTCAGGATCCCAATCTCTCATGCCCAGGTGTTGCATCTACGCAGCCGCCTTTGGTCCCAAATGAAATTGCATACATACAGCCACAAGCCCAATGCCAGCTGTTTGATGCACCCAATGCTTCATCTCATCTCATCTCATCTCATCTCATCTCATCTCATCTCATCTC